TATATATAATTTATTGAAGCATATACAATTAATGATTCTCAAAGTAACTGTATTATATTTTTTTTTTGTACTTTCAACAATTTTCGTGTGTTAGAGGTTAAAAAAATTATTTTATAATTGATCTTACTTTTTATATTAGAGTTGTTTCTTTCATTATCGAATTGTTACTTCATAATTTAGATTAACATAATAACTAATATTTATTCTTTTACATTAATGACTAAGTAAATCTATTGATATCCTGCAATGTTTATAATTAGAAGTGATTATATAAAGTAATAATCAAGTAAATATAATTAGCTATGAATAATAATTTTTTATATTAATTTCTCTTTTGGAATTTTAAAATTTTATAATTTAATAACAATTGTAAATATATATTTTTTTGAGCTTACTTAATCTATGTACTAAAGCAATGTCTCTATATTAAAACTTAGCTTTTAATAATTTTTTGATACATTCACAAAATATTTGTATTCCTACATTCAAGCTTTAATTTTTCACTTAAAAGATTCAGTTGAGAATTGTTAAATTTTTAATAAATTAATGTCTCCTAACCAATTTATATATATACTTGATACAATCCTCTTTTGAGATCGATTACCTATCATAAAACAAACTCTTTATCTAATTTTCTGCCATTTTAATTTGTAAATTAGTAATCCTAAAATGTTTTTGAAATTTAATAATAATTGAATTTTTTTGCTTAATTATCACTTAAAAACTTCTTATTGAGCTTTTATCATATGTTAAAGGAACTATTAGAAAATTATCCTTCACAACTAATTTAAAAACATTATGATAAGAAAATAATTTTCAAAAAATATATTTGAAATATGAATTATCATTTTTTCACGTTATTTTCATTTTACATATGAATTATATATTAAAAATTTTCGAAAATGATATCATATTAAAATTTGATAAGATATTATATTTTAAATGATTAATTAGATTATTATTTTCCTAATCTGAACTCTTCGGCTTGCAATTCCTAATACTAGCTTAAAGTTGCCTTAGGAACCAATCCTCAATTATTGCAACAAAATAAAAGTTGGAAATTCATGCCAGATAGAAAATGATTAATCTATAAAATTTTTTCACTAATAAAAAGTTAAAAAATATTTTAAAATCCCAAAAAGTTTCTTTAATCTCAGATCACAAAAGAAGAATTAGAGTAATAATATATATAAAAATAGAGTTCTGAAAAACCTGGATACAATTAGATTTATAAGTAAGCAACAAAGAATATTCACTTAAAGATTAATAAAAATAAGTAAAGATACAAAAAATTAAGTAACAGATCAATAGATTAAAGAATTAAAAAAATAATAATCAATTTGAAAAATATGTGCTTGATTAAAAGATTGAGGAAAAGAATTAAAAAATTAATACATTTAAGAATAAAGAACTTTCCAAACAAAACTTAAATTAATATTAATGAGATTCAGACTACTCAAATAAAGAAGTAAAATTTATAAATAATTAAAACTTAAATGATATTTATCAATGAGATTAAAATATAATTTATGAATATTTATGTAATATCCATTTTCTGTGTCTGAATTTCCAACCAACAGTATATCAATAATCTCAAAGATTGGCTCTGAAAACTTCAAGTAAATCATATTCATTATAGAAGCTAGAATATAAATAAGAGCAAATATTTTCTTTATATTAATACTGTCAATAAATACATTGGGGAGTAAAACGTATTTATTCAAAACATATATTCTCTTTAATAAGTTTTCTATAGAATTATACCAAATTTCACTAGAGTAAATATGGAGAATAAAGATATTTTATATTAATTAAAATAAATCAAATTTATGAATAAAGATTAATCAGAAAAATTATGCCTTACGCATAATGAAGAAATTATAGCATTAGATAAAGAACAATAGGATAAGAAGAAAAGAGGATTATGTTAATAATGTTGGTAATGCCTATCATAGGAAAGAAGAGTTTAGGTTGTATTAATTAAAGATTCTCTAAAACAAATAGATGAATACAAAAAAATAATTAAGGCAGATAGAGAAAATCATTTAGAAATAAACATTAAAGTTTTAAATAGTCTTATAGAGGAGTTGGGATAGGTAAAAGATAAATATTTGTAAATGTTTGAATTGATAACAGTTAGTATTAGAAAATTGATAGAATAATTATAAATTTAAGAATAATCCTTAATTAATAAGGTTGATAGCATCAACACTATTGATATTTATAATTTTTATGAATAAGCTAAAGAAGAATTTAAATCCAAATCATTATGTTTTGATGATATTAAAAATGATATTCAATGTAAGCTATTAGAAATGACAGAAACACAAAAAATATCAAAATGCATAGATATCCTATAAGATTTTAACAAAATTAAAAAAATATTTGAAGAATAGTTTCCAAATAAGAATTAGGATGAAATAAATTAACATGTAAACTATAATATATTTTCTATAGAACTTAGACATCACATGTGATGAGCATAAAGAAAAAATTATTTTGGTAGATTTAAATAAAGATAGAGCAAATTAAAAAAGAATTGCTTGTCTATTGTGTGTTGATAATTATAGTAGTCAATACAAATCAATAAAATATGTGTAATAGGAATGGAATTATATTGAATAAATAAGAAAGGAAAATTTGGATTAAATTGCCTCATTTTTGAAAAATAAAGGAGAGAAATTTCAAGAAATCTTGAATAAAATGAAATAAGATAGTTAAATAATTATAGAAAAAGCACAAAAATAGATTACTACAAATATGAACTAATTTTTTTAAGAATACAAAATATAACAAAAAAAATTTGGATAAAGTTGGTCGAAGTTGAGTAAGGAATAACTTATTCATATAGCTAACCAATTAAGTTAAAATGATGATTGTTAATTGACAGAAGATCTAATATAAAGTGAATTTAAAACAAAAGATAGCTTAATTGATGAAATTGTTAAAGAAACAATCTAAACTTTATAAGAGGCTTAAGTTATTGCAATAGATTAAACTTTCAAATTATTGAGAAATTTGTAAAATGAATAAAAAAGTATAATAAAAGACACAAAATAATTAGATAAGGAAAGTAAAATGGAAATCAAATTAAATTGTAATTCTTCATAAATGAAATTCGATATAAGTCCAAAAAATTATGGAATAATTTCACAATATAAACTTATAAAAAATTATATTTGTTATTCAATAGCAATTAATAATGATTCATCATTAGTATTAGTTGGTTAAGGTAGATTTATATATATATATGAATTAAAACCTAAAGAATTAAAAAAGATCAAATGTATTGGTAAACATAAAAATGATGTAAATTGTTTAAATTTTATGACACTATCAAACTCATTTGTATCTGGAAGCAGAGATAAAAAAATAAAAATTTGGAAATAATACAAGAATGATTAATGGAAATGTGAACAGATTTTAGTAGGACACACCGAATCAATTGTTTGCTTGTTGATAAATAATAAAGATTAAATGATAATATCAGGAAGTTTAGATAAGACAATTAAATTTTGGCAATACACAGAAAAATGGTTATGTATTTAAACTATAACACATCACAGTGATGCAGTATATGGTATATGTTTAAATGAGTAATAAAATAAATTAATTTCCTGTGGACGTGATAAAAAGATTTTAATTATCTAATAAGAGAATAATGAATGGATTGTTAAATAAATTATTGAAGTTGAAATTTGTGGTTCAAGGATCTGTTTTATTAATGATACATTCACTTTCTAACCCTTCAATCATCCTGAAATGCATATTTATGAGTTCATAGATAATTAATACAAAAAAACTAAATAAATATCCATAAAAAATGGATCAAGCTGTGATATTCTGTTTCCTTAAAAATTTATAAAATAAAAATAGTTGCTGATTAATAAGAACGGTCCATATATTCATTTTATAGGAGTTTATCCTAATTCTGAGTTCATAGTGGAATAATCTATTGAATTAAAAACAGAATAGATTTATGGAACTATAAGCAATGATGGGAAATACTTATTTATTTGTGATGATCATTAATATCGATTATAAATCTGGTAATAATGAAATTAAAAAGTAAGAATTTATGAGTTTATTTTAAAATATAAATTTATACATTAAGATCAATTAAATCATTAAATTACTTATTGAATTCAACAAATAACTAAAGCGCAACCAAAAAATAAAATCTCTTTTCCATTAAGTGAGATTTCATCTAAAAATTAGGCCAACCGACCAAGCCTATTACTTAATCCAAAATTAAAAGACATTAATATCATCTACTTCTGGTTTTGATTAGAATAGTAACCAAAAATTTTATATTTTATAACATCTCAACGAAAAGGTATTATATTAGCCATACTAAATGTATAATTCATTTCACTTCTTCCCAATAGATCTTTCATATTTAACTAGTATTATGTAGAATATCTCTTATAGAATTGAAAATGAGAATATTTAAGAATAAATTTTATATTTTTTAAAAAAAATCTCAAATCCTCATTTTTATTATTTTAAAACAATAAATAAACCAGATTATTCTTTAAATGAAGATATTAAGATTCATTTTTGAAGTCTTAATCAATAAAAATTTATAGAACTTTGAGGTTTGAAGATAAAATCAGTACTATAATCTAAATACGTTCGATTTACTAATGAATGAAAATATTTTAATTTTTATATAAATTTTATTAGACATTTCATTTAGTGATTTATAAGTTTTATTGACTCCTTAAATTTCTCATATAATAATACTTAAAATAATACTTTTGAACTCCACGGTCAAGTACTATTATTCTTAAATTAATATGTTAAGATTAAAGCATCTAATAAATAAAAATATTATTTCAAAATTATACATATTGTAACTCTGGATCACATCATCTTCATAAGTATTAACAATTATTTATATTAACACAATTATTTAGTTTATTTTTCAATAAAAATTTATCTATTTGAAAATCTATTAAATTAATAGAGTAGATTATTAAAAAATTTGTAATTAAAAAAATAATGCTCAAAATTTAATGTATGTTGGAAATTCTGAATTACATGATATTTCATCTTCTGAACCACAAAGTAATAGGATTAAACACAAAAGGATTAAAACTTAAAATAATGTTACTTTTTCTTTTAATTGAAAATGGAAAAACCACCTAAGTTGTTTACAGTAATTTTTTTGACAATCCCCTCATTTAAATTAATGGTATTATATCAGTAAAAATAATAATAGATTGGCTCAAAATTTCTAAAGATTCAAATTATGATTTTTTGTTTTAATCTTGTGGATCTGCAAACATTTTATATATTGACAATAAAAACACATAATATAATGTTCTGATTCATAGATCATTTAGCTTAAATCCTCATGATGAAGTCACTATTGAATTTAAGCTTTGGAAGTATGTATTTAAATAATTAATTTTTAGAATTGATAATTGGATTAATAATTAATTCCTAATATATGTAGATAATGAAATCATCTTAGATTAACTTTACTCTTGTTCATAAAGTGCAATGAATATATGTGGTGATTCATAAAATGATGAAGTTACTATGATTTCAAAGAGTATTTTACATGATCGCCCTTCAATCTAAATTGTAATATTTGCTTAGAATGGAAAATGGGGAATTTCAGAATTCATATTAAATATGCAAGAATTTAATAGTTTTAAATCATGCGATTTTAATAAATGTTTTGATTAAAGGATAATTTTAGAATCATTCACTTCTATTCTCATATCATCAATTAATATTTCAGAAGGATGGAATCACTTAGGTTCAACTTCGAGTAAGATAGATTTTTGTCATGGTAAATTTATAAATAAATTAGACCTTTATTACCATTAATCTTAGGGCAATTCATTTCAAAAATAAATTTCCTTAGATTTCCATGTTGCTATTAGTTTTAAATTAAAAATTATGATTTTTAATTCTGGAACTACAACAATCATTCTTAAAATAGATGACATTATTGTACAATAATGGTCATATGTATAGAAATGGATAAATTATGATCACACGGATATAACTTTTCAAGGATTTTGGTATCATTATACATAAACAAATGTTAATATTGTGAATTATGCTCATACCTAACCTTAAATAAAAATCACTATATAAACTTCAATGAATGCAGTTTATACACCTTGGGCTCCATGGTTTGGGATTCGAGAATTTTAATTATTTACTATACTTCAAAATTTAAATTATATTTGTAAGGATCAAAATATAAACGCTTTTGATGGATGTTTTTCTTTCATTTATGATTGTGTTTAGGGTTGTATGAATTGTATAAACGGTATTTGTGTTAATTGTTTAATGGGATGGCTTTATATTGAAATTGATAATAGCTGTATTCCAATTTGTGGTGATCTTATTTTAACATAATAAGAGGAATGTGATGATGGAAATGAATATCCTTATGATGGATGCCATAATTGTAAATTTTCTTGTCCTTTAAATTGTAATATATGCTAATTTGGATAATGTTTATAAGAGAATAATTCACATTAAATACAATATTCAAATGTATTCATTCTATTTCATTTAGTTTCTATTTGATTTTAAACCAAACATCATTTTATATCATAATTAATGTAAACAGTCTTATTATGATTTAGAAAAGGATGGCGATTTTAAAAACTTTGAATGCTATTTATAAGGATAAAACTTAGTAGCAGAATTATACTAAAAGATTTTTATTGAATCAATAATTATGTAGTATCCAATTTTAGAGCAATATATTATTAATAAATTAAATTAAGTAAATTTTAATAAGATTTACTAATGTAAATAAAATGGTTTAGAAACATGTTAAGAATGTGAAAATGGTTTTATATTGAGTATAAATCAAAGAGAATGTGTTCCTCAATGTGGTGATGGAATTGTTTAAGATTATGAAATCTGTGATGATTAAAACAATTCACAATAAGATGGATGTTATAAATGTTAATAAAGTTGTTAATTAGAATGTTTATATTGCATCAATGGAGAATGTTCGATTTGCCTTGATGGATGGTAATTAATCAATAAAACTTGTTAATAAATATGTGGAGATGGATTATTAGCAATTTAATCTAATGAATAATGTGATGATGGAAATTAAAATGATAATGATGGATGTTTCTAATGTATATTTGAATGTGTACCATATTGTTTATATTGCATTGATCAATATAATTGTTTAAATTGTTAAAAATATTTTGAACTCGTATAGAACTCATGTAGACCCATATGTGGAGATTCATATATAGAAGAAGGATTGGAAGAGTGTGAAGATGGAAATTAAATTGCTAATGATGGTTGCCATAATTGTTAATTTCAATGTGAAATTAATTGTATAACATGTATAAATGGAAAATGCAAAGAGTACCAGAAACTAGAAGAACCTTTAAAAAATGATACAGAACCAATAATATAATAAATAGATTAAATTTGTAATGAAGGATGCTTATTATGTTTAGAAGAAAAATGTTAGTTATGTGAATAATTCTCAACACTTGAGAATGGCTAATGTATTAAATGTGGTAATGGATATAAATCAAAAGATGAATTATGTGATGATGGAAATACTTTAAATAATGATGGATGTTCAGATAATTGCAATATTGAATAAGGTTGGGATTGCAATAACAAAAACAATCAATTTAGTCAATGTTATAAAGTAGCTTAGCTTTCTATAAATTTCTTAAATTAATCATCTAATACTTAATATGTAACTTTAACATATACAAAGAAAGTTAAATTGAATGAATCTAACTAAATTTTCCTAGAATCATTATCAATATTTATTAAAAGTTTAAACTCAAATTATTTTAATTTAACTATTGAACCTGTAACTGAAATTATTTTTGAATCAGTAAGAGATATTAACTATATTATTGAAATCACTTTTCTTGAAAAGATAGAATACTAACCTAAATTGATAATTTAAATGAATACAGTATTATTGGATGAGAACGAAATCATAGTTCCTACAAGTTTTACTGATATTGAACTTAGAATACCTTAAGTTATGGATTCATTTTAATTGCAAAATACATAAAGATTTTAAGCTGTTGGATAGAAATTAATGATGGGACTAACTGGATTTGGAGTATTATTATTAATATTTGGATAATTAGCACAATTTTTGGAAATTCTTGATATTTTATAATATCAATCTTATCTTAAATTCATAAATATAGAATACCCTTTAAATTTGTAGATTTATTTTTAAGCATCAGATTTTGTATAATTAAATAATATTTTGATAAATTTTAGAATTGTAGAAACATTAAATTTAATTATTTATTAAGAAAATCTTGAAAGTAAAGGAGTATTTTATCAATATTAACTTAATGCAGATTTATTGAGTAATATTTATGGGTAAATAGTGTAAATTATAATAATGTTCCTGGGCTATATGATACTTGTGCTTTATATTTTTTATTCAAAAACTGATTTTTTTTAAGCTAGATTCTTTTATAATATTAGAAGAACATAATCATAAATAGTAAATTATATAGCAATTAAAATCTATTACTTACATAGAAAAATTCATAAATTACCTTAAATTAAATTAAGTTAAGAATTAATTTTTATATTTCATGGCAATAGTTTTGATTTAATTTTCAAAATGCTTCTTTATCTAAATTCAAATCTATTAATTAATATGAGATCAGAAATTTCAATTGGAATTTGCTTAGTATTTTTTATTATAATGATCAAAATTTTAATTAAACCATTTTCAAGGGGAAACAAAATAATAGTAATTTAAAAAATTAAGGAATAATAACTTGAATCTATTAATTTACTTAAAAAGTTTTTATTTCTTATAATTTTGATCAGAGCTTAAGTAGAGCCTCTACTTTAATGCTTTCTTTTATCCTTTTGCTAATTGCTCTATATTGAAATCATATGGTTTTTTTCATTAACATAATCAAAGTTTGAACTTATGATGATTGTTTTGAATGAATTTCCGATAGTGATGTTTACATTCATTAATGTAACATTTTGTTCAGATTTTTCATAATATTTTACTCAAAATACAAAATTATTAATAGGATTTTTCTAAATAGCACTTTTACTTATTGGTGTATTTGGACCAATCATAAAACTAATAAATCAAATTTATTAAATGGTCAAAAAGTATTTAATTGAAAGAAAAGAGAAGATGTAAAAAATTTAGATCCAGAATCTATATTGTTTTTAGACAGCTCAAAATTGATATGACATATATAATTTATAATTCATTATTAAAAATACTCTGAATTTTATATTTTCTCATTGTTAATAATGAAATCATTAGAGCTTTTGATAGTAAATATAGTCAGCTATAGATCAATGAAAATTAAATTTATAACAACATAGCTTTTAATTTTTATTATACATTAGTATATTGGTATTTTATAATTTATTATTATTTTCTTCAATTTAACTACCTTTAGTTACTGAATACTATGGAATTTTAATCTTTTAATAATAGAATAACAACTAATCAAAACTGTTAACTTATATGATCATTTTAAATGTATATAGAAACAGTTGCATAATTCATTCTTTTAAATATAAAAGAAAAAAAAAAATTAGTTATGACAATCTCAAAATCTAATAAATATAGTGAAGATTTGTTAATTAATTAGATAAAAAATATTATTAATAACAAATAATTTGACATTTATATTTCATCATTTTTATTTAATATCAATTGAAATTATTTTAAGTGGTTTCATAATAATAAAAAATCAATTTAATTATATTTGTTTTTGAATTATAAAAGTGAAAAGTGTGAAACTAAATTCTTATTGTTTCAACCAAATCCATATTAATTTTTATAAGGAAATATTTGTTTATTTTATCAATTATTTTTTTCTTTTATGAGTTCGATTATTTTATTTTTGCTTTCATTCTAATTTAAATACTGTCAAAAATTTCTAAAATATTTTATAAGCAACAAATATAAGTTTTAAATCGCACATATCATTATAATATAATTAAAATAATTAAGATAGTTTTCTTTTTAAAAATATATTATGATTTACATTAATTTTTTAAACTAGAAATTGGATTGCAACCCAAAAATCTAAATCCATATTTTCAAAATACTAGTTCTTTTAATATTTGTTTGTAGTCTACATATTAAAGGTTTAAATAAAGTCTTAATTTTGAATTATAATTACTTTTTTACAAATAAATTATATTAAAATAATGTCAAAATCCATATATATTACCATATTCCCAATCTTGCTAATTTTTGTCTGTTCTTAATTAAATCCTATACGGTCAAGTCTTAGTAAATATCCCTTTGAATCAAATGAAACTATAGTTTGCAATCAAACATAACCAATATAATATCCAATCAAATTTTCATCAATTTCAAGGAAACCTTAGGTAATCTTAAATCTCTGGAAGATTAAAATGAACAAAGGTATATCTGAAGTTTAAGCATCCATTTCACAGATAAAGTAATCATGTAATTTATTTTATTTATTAAGAATTTTAAGTTAATATTGGTTGTAAATCAGGAGTTTTGGAATTATTTTCATTTAGATGGTTTGTTGTTGATGATTAAAGAATATAAGTATTAGATTCTTTCAATATGACAAATTTAACAAAAAAAACATTTAAACATTAAAATCCTAATGCATTAAAAGCATTTGTCATTATAACAAGTATAGGTTTTACAGGAAAATTTGATTTTTTTCTCAAAGTATTTATATCAAAATTTCTCTAGATTCTGGAAATTAATTAAACCACAGTAACTGTTGATATTTAAGGAGATTATGCAAATGTTTCTTAATTGGGCTATCAAATAATCTTGGGAATATAAGAGGCTTTTATTATGGTAAATTAGAGCTACTTTTATGAGAATTTTACAAGTAAAGACTTTCCTTGGGCATCTAGGGATACGAAATTTTTAGCAATTAATTTTTATGGTTTTAATTATTCAAATGATGTAAATTTTGATTTTTAAGGAGCTGATGGACCAAAAAATTAAAATTTAATCTATAGATATTATGTTTTTTCTAGTATTTATAAAAAAAATATTAATTAGAAGGAGGTGGAAGTTATAATAGCATTTTTTGGATTATAAAAAATATTACTACAGTATTTTCCCCATTAAAACTTTAAAACTTATCAATTAAGTATCAAAAGTAGATTCGTGCAATTTAAATTCAAATGATTACTTTTATTTATTTATCTCTAATATCTTTTTATTTTACAATTTAATTAATAAATTCCACTTATATATTAAATAAAAATTAGATAAATTGATTATTAGCTGCTAATAAAGGATCTATATTAAGGAAAAATAAAAATTATTTGTAACAAATCAATGTAAAACAGGTTATATTATTATCAAATTAATTTTTATTATATTTTCGAGTTTAAAATTTAATAATTTAGATAAAAGTTTTACTGTCAAAAGTACTTTTAATAAATTTTAAATTTCATAAAAGCTGCTTCATATTTTAGAATCTTAATTTTTTTTTCATATTTCTTTTCCTATTTTTTGTATATTTGCTTTTGATTGAATCAAGGTTTCCTATAAAGTCATTTTTGCATATAATTTTAGTGATCAAAAGTCATCCTTTCTTTTATTAATTTGCATCTCTCTTCTTTGTTTAGAACTTAATAATTTTATTTATCCGTTAATTCTTATCAAGTTCCAATTTGATTTCTTTTAGCAATGCTAAATTAAACTCTCTTATAAATTTATATTTCTTCCATTTTTTAGAATCAGCAGTCATATTTTAAATTTATTGGAGGTCTAAGTTGACTTTCATTTACTTTCCATGCGTTTCTTTTGAATTATTCAAATTATAACTCTTCTTTAATTAAAAATTTTAATAAAATAATATAATATTTCAACTATCAAATTATTTAGTTATTTATTAATTTTATGATAAAAATAAATTATTTAATGATTGCTGCAATAAAAATTAACTTAAAAATAAATATTATTTAATTATATAATAGATTCAAAATATATAAATATTAACATATTAGTTTATAAACTTATTATGATTTATAAAATGGTTGTTACTTAAGAGAATATAATATCCATATTATTCCATTTATTTTAAACACAATTTTCTATAACTCTAAGAATATCTTCAATACAATATGATATTACATAGAATAAAGAATAATTATTGTAAACATTATTGAATGTATAATTCCTTTGGTTATAATATTTATTTTTAACTAGTCTTATTAAAATTTTATTTAATAAAAAAGATCATTTATAAGTATTAATTGTATATATTGAAGGCTTATAGTTTGTTAATTTTAGTTATGAAAAAAATAGAAACTCATTTAATTTTGAATATTCTTTATTTATTCTATATTTTCTATAAAATTTAATTAGGCATTAATTTATCAATAAATTTTATAAGGTTTTCCTTTCGCCTTTCATTCGAAATTTTGATTTTCACATTATTGTTTTTTATTTAAACTTTATTTTTTCCTAGAATATTCCTAGCTAACAAAACCTTCTCAGATTCACTTTAAGTTAAAAATTACCCATTTATTCTTAATCTCCTCTCTGCAATAACTTTACGTATCTAATATATCTAAAAAGTATTCCCAAATCGTTTTTTTTACTTATATCTTTCAATTGATTATCGACGTATAATTTATTTGGCAAAAATTTCTTCATTTGTTTGAATAATTTTTAATTGCTTCATGCACTAGTCATTAGATTGTCAAATACTGCTTCCAACTATGTCAGTTTATCAATTTCTATTTTTGCAGGAATGTACTCATTGTTATGGTATAGATTTGGCAACAACTTGTGTATTATTTAGAACATTTAAGGATTTTTCTTAGTTTTTATGGTTAATATAATTTTATATCAAATTAAAGCTCTCTATTGAATTTAATCAGATAAAATGAGTATTCAATTTTCAGGTTACATAAGAGGGTAAAATGCTTAGCGTATATGACTATGTTAACATACTTATAATTATATTGAATCAATAAAATAAATCAATGAAAAATGAATATGAATAATGAATAATAATTTTAAATATATTTATAAGAAGAATAATTAAGAGTATACCATAAAATTTAGATGATTTTATGGTTTTATAATTATTTAAATAAATGATATATGTAATTGATATATATTATTTATATAAATTGTATGTAAGTTATTTAATATTAATGAGATGCTTAAATTGAAGAAAAGAAATTCAATATTTTTTATTGATAATAAAGTTAAAATTTATAGATATTATTATATAATAATATTTTATTTGCTTTTGATTTTATCATTTTCTCAATTCTGCTTCTAAAGTAGCTATTTGTTCCCTTAATTAATCTTAATATCCTTTATTAGTTTCCTTAGCTCTTTCCCAAGCTCTTCTAGTTAATGGATGTAATTCAAGTCTATCATCTAAAGTTTTTCTAATAAATGAATGATTTATAAAACCTATAAAAATTATTTTATCTTAAGCCATCTAATTTTGCATTAGTTGCAATGGCATAAAGAGGAATTGCTATAGCAGCAGTTGACCATAATATTCTGATTGATTATTATTAACAAGCATAATGTCTTCCAATTAGACAGAGAGCACCAAGGCCAGCATTTGTCAACCAATCTTATTAAAAATGATATATTTACATGAGAGAGTATGAGGATTTGCATAATCAGGTAATGGTCTATATTTAAATGGTTAAAATCCCTATTCTTCAAGTCTATATTTGATTTCAGGAGTTAAACTGGGGATTGCTTATTGCATAATAATTATATTTAATTATATCAAATACACAAATTTTCATTAATCTATTTATTTTTGTTTTATTTAATATATTTCTTCTTTCATCCACTGATAGATTTCATCTGCCTTAGATACTGCTAATTTACTTAATTAATCCATTTCTTGCTGTTATAATTTTAATGTTTTTAATTCATAAAAGTCTATTTTTTATTTTCTAGATTAATAGGATATTGTAAGTTCTCCTTAAGCTGTTTTACTTTCCTCTTAAGTTAGATCTACAATTAAATTGCCTTAATCTAGACCAACTGTGACTGATACAAGAAAATCTTTCATTGAAACACCAGCATCCAATAAAGCTAAAGTGATTGCATTAAAAACAGCACTTTTAGAACTTCCATCATTTTAAATAACACAAACTGAAATTGAAATCTCTGATTTTCCATTTTCATCTAGAATGATAAGATTTTCAAAAGACTCTTTAAGATTTTCAGCAAACATTGAATAATCTTTATCAAATTTAGAACTCCTTTTTGATTCTATGTTACTAAATGGTGAAACAGAATATTCAATTATCAATAATTCTGATTATGTTTTCTGATATAAAATGATAATTTACAGCTCTTGGTCCCTAAACTAAACAAATGACTTCAGTTAATCCTTATTTATATAAGCAAGACCCATCAACAGAGAGATCAATGGCAAGTTTAAATTCAATATTTCTCATTTATAAGAGATTCCTGCCATCCTACCTTTTTAAACTCATAAATAAATTTATAATATAAAATCAATTATTGATTACTAAATTAAAGAAATCTTCTAATGGTTCACTTATGTCTTTAATCATATCATATTTTGTGTGAGTCATATCTGGAGGAAGAACTATTAGCTTCAAAATTGAACGTAGACTAGTCTATAAATCTATTATACTTTTCATATATTTCTATAGTTTAAGTATAACTAATGATATCATCAGCTTTGCCATGTACCAATAAAGTAGGAATAGTTATATCTTTTGCATAAATAGCATTCTAAAATCTATTTTTAACTATTGCTCCAAGTATGCCAGCATGTTAATATGCTATTTTGCTAAATGAAGCAAATGCTGATATTAAAATTAAACCTTTTCCTTTATTGAGACTGGCCAAATAACATGCTGGACCTGTCCCCATTGACCTAATAATTATCTATTATTCTACCTCCCCATTATATAAATCTCTGCATTTTCTTAGGTTTTCTCTATATACTCAAAAGCAGCGATTGCATCTTACTAAATATTTTCTTCAGTAATCTCTGCATTTTTATATAGTCCATATTCAGGATATTCTATTGCTAATATATTGAAATCTTTTTCTGTGGCATTTTTTAATTATTACATAAATTAGGATGCTCCTAATCTATACTTTTAATCAATTTATATACAAATCTTGTGAATTTCCATGAAAATAGATTATCCAAATTTTAGAATTCCCTTTCATCATAAAACAAGGAACTTATCTATCCTTGCTTTTGATAAATATCAAATTAGTTCCAAAAGACTCTGAAGTATATTATGGCTTAGGTGCCTGAAAAAAAATATAATTTAATTACATTAATATTTTATTAAAAACAAAATCTATTCATTTCTCCTAAATTCCTCTTTTACTTATCATTAAGTTCAAATCGTCATTTAATCTCACCTCAACATTTCCCTCATAAATAAGTCCCCAAAATACTAATATATGATTTTTATATTGAAACAAACTACATTAAAACAAATTAATAAAAGCTACTTTAGAAAAAGAGATTTAAAATCTTAAAAATCTATATAACTTAGAACAATTAATAAAATATTAAAAATGTTAATGACTTAATATATTTTTAATTCAAAATATCAAAAACATTACTAGTAATTAAACTGAATATATAAAATCCTTTTCAAAGATGACGATTATAGTTTATTTATTATTATATTTCATTCTATTTTAAAATAAAGACTTAATTAGTTTATTTCTTTTTTTTAGATCTTAAAAAGTTCAGAAATTACAAATTACTAAATTCTATTAAATTGAATTGAATATTATACTCTTGTTTAATTAAATATTTAATAATTATTGTATAAGATGGTTGGATATCTATTACAACATATTTTTTATTATATTTTTTGATCAATTAAGAGATGTCAGTTAAAATCTAGTAAAATCAATGTTAAATTCAATATGTTAATAAAATCATATTGATTAAATAACTTAAAGTATATTTATAATTTCCAAAATCTAAGATTGATAAAGTATAAAATAAAAAATTCATAGGCATAATATTTACTACAAATATATTAATGATATTATTAAATAATTTATATTTAAAGATTAAAGTATGTGATTAATAAGATATTTCAATAGATAATTAAAAATATAGATATCATTTATTTATATAGTAATAAGATAAAACTTATTAGATATCTGATTAATGAATTTTAAAATTCAAATCAAATTTTTCGATTGATAAATAATCTTTTGAATATAATTAAAGAGAGGAAACAGAACACTATTTTATAATTAATATTCTCAAGTTAATTTGATTTTAAATGAATAAAGGAAAAGACTCTAATAATCTAAGTTATAAAAACTACCATAAAAAAATTAGTTAAAATTCTTTAGAAAATATATATGGTTAAACGAATCTATTGTTACAAATTAATTTTGAAATGCGTCTTAAATAACATTGACTTTTAATATATCTATATGTGAGTCTAGAAATAAGTAGTAATTATATTTTTGATTTTATTAATATTATTATTCATATGTTTTCTATCGATCATCCTTTAGACTCTTTATTAAGATACAAAAAATTCCCTTTAAGAGAGCCTTTAAGAAGAAACTATCAGACTTGTAATACCAATCCTTTAGGAAGAAAAACTCCAGATTTAACTTTTACTTAAAGCCTTTAAAAATAAATAAAAATACCCCTTAACCTAAATAAGTTATATCAAAAGAAAACCAAAAATATAATAGTACATGAAAGTTCATCTGTTAATACATCAATGCGCTTGTAATAACCTATTTTCATTATGAAAACAATAAATATTCGAACATAATCAACTGATGAACCTAAATTAACAAAACCATTGATCATTAACAAAAAATCATAAAACAATTCTATTTATTGTGATTCTTCTGATAATTCTGATTTCAATGAATTAAGAAGAACTTATTTGTAAAAATATTGCAGACCAAAACTTAATTAAATAGACAGGTAGCCTCGATTTCGAATACATTCTATTAATGAAGACGCATTAGATCCGTGGACTGTAGATATATGAATAATTTCTTATATTTATAAACCTGTTCTTTTACTATATATTTATATGTAATTATTAATTCAGGTAGTACTAAATTAATAGACCTAAAAATTCAATTACATCTATAATTCTTCTTAGAATAAGTTTTAACATAATCCATAATTATACTTCAATTATTCGAAAAAACCTATAATCTTTTCAAGTTTTGAATTTATATACATAAATAAAACAAAGTAATATATTATTATTGAAACATATAAAAGGGTTCAAGTAATTTATAAATCCTATCATTTACTTTAAGAAGTAAGCTTTTTGCATTGTTCCTCTAATATTCTCCATAATAACCAAGAATAGGGATGGTTATTTTTAAGTGACTATATATTTTATATTGAATAATTACATCATCTAGTTTTCTAACTAAATTCTAATAATATTCTGTAAAAACTAGATTTTCTTTTAATCTATTTGTTATTTATTTTCTCTATTCATTCCATTTAATTTATAATTATTTGTATTGATCATTATTATATTATAGAAATGCATCTTATTTATCTTTTTGAAATAATTAATTTGACATACAAAACATTCCAAATTAATAGAAAGAGAGACCATCTGAATTACCACATGTTTCAATAAATTATTTAATATATATTTATTAATTCTTTTATCCTTCTTCTATTAAATTAAATAAAATAGTAAATTCTTCTACACTTATTGAATCATCATCATTAATATCAACAGCTTAAAATAATTCTTTAAAATTATCTTGATGTATTTTTTTCATTAATTAGAATTATTATAATGATTCCATAAAAAATAAATCTAAATCTATATATCTATTTCCATTAATTATTTATATTTAAGATTTAAATTTAGATTAAATTTCCATTAAATGTTCATCTAGAGATGCTAATTAATCCAAAGCTTTATCATATAAAATCAAAACACATTCATAATTTTGAGTACATGAAATTAAATTTTCTGGTTTCTATTATAAATCTAAATGTTAAAGAGTTGAAAAATAGAAATCCAAATCTTCATCATTAATAGCATCTTAAATTTATAAAAATCTAGAAAATAATCTAATTCTTGGAATGTTTCTATAAAATATAACTGCTTAACATAACATAGTTAATTTATTTTCTGCTATTTATTTTAATCCAAAAGTATTCATATAAAATTCATAACAAATAACATAAATTGGTTATTTTCTCTCCAATCTTTCTTTATAAAATTAAGTAATTAATTTAAAAACACTTTATAATTACATTGTCTATTCAATATTTTCAGGATGTTATAAACTAAATAAATAACTAATATACTTAATTGTTTAAATAAATTGTTTAATAAACTCTAATGCAGTTTCTTTTAATTATTATTCCTTATCTCTAACAGTTTTTGTTTCAGGAGCAGCAGGAGTTAAATAAGATCCTTTTCTTTAAACTAAAATATTCTATTAAAATTACGTTGATTAACATAAACTGAATTATTTTAAGAATTTGGTTATGAACCATTAAATTTATATGACAATTTTTTAGTGCTAGATCTTTTAAATGCATATTCATTTTAATTATTTTACTCTATTATATTTTCTCCAAATTATTCATCTTCATTGATTACTTCATTTAAATTTAATAATGTATTTCTGATTTGAGATGAATTAAGTTAATCATAATCTTTATTTGATGACTCTATAAGTTTCTCTTCTTATGCTATCTAATTTGTATCATATTCTAATATATTTATATATATATATATAATTACTTAGTTTTTAAACTCCTTAATTAATTTAATTGTTCTATTGATGATTGGACTAATTATTTATTTATTCAATATTAGATTTCTTATTATTTTAAATTTTTGTTTATTTTTAATTTTAATTAATATTATGAGATATAGATTTTTAATTATCTGAAAGTTTCTTTTAATGGAGTGTTTGTTTAACTTATTATTATTAATTTTATTAATTGTTTTAGTTTTATGTCTATAATTTTGTAGCCGTATTATTAGATAGTTCTTTATTTAAGGGTGTTTAATTTTATGAATTATTTTAACTTGCATTGTTACTTGTGAAATTACTGTTTTATCCTTAATTCTTTTCAATCTTATCATTTTTTACATTTTTTATAATATTATCTTATTATTAGATTTAATTTTGTTATTTTGACTTTTAATTATTATTTAAATTATTTTTATCTACTAATTTTTCTAATGTATTTGAAGGTGTCTTTTATTATTCTCTAACTGGTCCTAATGACATTTACTCTCCATTATTTTCTTCTAAAGATACAATATTCCTCTTTTTTTATTATCTACTTTATAATAATGATTATAGTTCAGATTAAAGTCTTTCTATTTCCTTTTAGAGAGCTGATAATGAAATTTCCTATTTATTATAAATTAGATTACTTATGATGTTAATTTATTAGTATTAATTTCTTATTCTCTCATTAAATGTTGTTTAGTTCTTTGTAATTCTGATATAATATTATTAGATAATTTAAGTTTCTCTTCTAAATCATACTTTTAATCCAATAATCTTTTGATTTAATCATTATTTTCAGTAGTGTGAGGTTAATAATTCTCATCATCATTAGATAAACCTGTTTAAGTGCCTTAATGAAAAATGAACTTTATATCAGTTTAAATAGCTGTTGATAATTTAAGTTTATCATGATCAAAAGTCTAAGTATATTTTTCTTTTTTTATTGACATCATTTCAAAAAAATCTTCCATTGTTGTTCCTTTGTGATTTTATTCACTACAACAACTATCAAGTGAAATTTAAGAATAACGTTTTGTTTTTGCTGTTCTCAACTCTTAAGATTTTTAATATATTGTAGTTTATAATCTATCATTTTCTTATGTCAAATTTTCAACTTAATTTTAGAGTGTTTCTTTAATTTCTAATAGATCTCTTCTTTAATTCTTAAGATATTCAACTTCTTATTCAATTTCTTTTTTTTATTCTTAAATACTAAAGAAGTTATCTTTAATATTTTTATGTTTAAACTTCTTTCTGTCAAATTTTGTGCTTAATTAATTAAATTCATCATCTATTTATTTTAATTTATCTTCTAAAAATTTAACAGAATTTTAATATGTTTAATGTAACTAAAATATTAAAAATATTTATAATACTGATTTTAGTTAAGACAAATATTCATTCTCTTGATTATTCTTTTCATCATCTAATGATTTAAGTAGAAATGTATTGTAATTAACATATTAATTCCATATTTTCTCTAATAGTACACTACCTAATGATGAGATTATACCTTTTTTCAACACAATCTAATGATATTTCTCTAACTAACTCTTTTAAACTGAGATTAAATATCTTTTCAATTTCTCTTAGTTATTATTATTACATCATTTTTTTATTAGAAACCACTTGTTACATTTAATAATCTAACCATTAAGCCAATTTGATAACGTCTTGCCTTTAAGTGAGCACATTTACTTTTTTCAATCTTTATGTATGAGTAGAGAGATGATTAGAAAAAGAAGCAGATTCTTATAAGAATTCTTTAATCTTCTCTTTATTTCTCATATCCAATAAATTGACATTGATATCTGAAATTTCTAATATTTCAATATTGATTTATACTTCTGTTATATTCTTAATCAATATCACTATATTCATTATATTTATAGGGATTATCGCTAAGCATTTAAGAATAGAAATCATTTCTACTTTATCTGTTTTATAACTCAACTTCGGTTATCTAAGATTTTGTTAATAAGGGTGAACTGTAGTATTACTGAAAAATATATATCATATTACATCTTAACGAGTTTCGAATTTTTCATTTTTGAGAAATGAAATGTTGGTTTTATTATTCGGTAAAGTCTTAAAGGCTATATCTTTTGGTTATCTGATTTTGATTTGAGCATTTAACATTGAGTCAAGGGTTTTGAGTTTGGATTATGGTGATTTGGTAGTAATATTGGGTAAAGTTTAGGGTTACATTGAATTAAGTAGGAAATTAAAAATATAATAATAATAATTATATATGTTTCAAGATTTATTTTACTAGACAATCTAAAAAATCTAAGTTTTGTTATGAATTTATTTGAGTATCTTTATTTATTATTATTGAAATTTGTATTCATCTCTTATATCAATAAGAATTTACTTTTTAGGTATTTTATTAGGGTCTGAACTATATTAAAATAATTTTGTATGTTATTAAAATTTTGAAATATTGAGATTATGCTTTTAATCGTAAAATTCTTCTTATTTTTTATGATTAATTAATTTTTTAATGGATTATTAATCTGATTTACTTATAAATCTTCCTTTAATTCTTAAACGTTATTCAGCAACTTAAGATCTAGCTTAATAAGAGATTTTTCTATCCCAATTCCTTCTTTTATTTTTGTATCTCTATATTTTGAATTACCTTTCAGAATATTTCTCCATCATTGTTTTCATTTGTTCAATTCCTTTATTTGAAATATTTTCATCATCTATTAATGTATATAAATCGCTTTTTTTTTCACATGAATCAGTTCTTTTTTATAATGCTTTCAATAATGATACATTAATTCCTATTTATCTATTTATATTATTACCTTAACCTTAAATAAATGCATTCTTTAATTAATCTATAATATATTTCTTTTTATATCCGCACATATGATCATCACTATCTCTATAGTCTTAGTTTGGTAAGAAATTTAAAAAGGTTTAACAACTCATGTGATCATCTAAAGTTCCCTAGATTTAATTTAAATATTTGTACATTAGTAAGTTCATCAAAATTTAATGTTCTAAGCTATGGCTATAATATTCCACTCACTTATTCTCGATCCTTTTTAGTTATATCTTAGTATATAAGATTATTATACAATTTTAGAATAAATCATTTTTTTCTTTATTTCCATTAACATTCCTAATTATTTCCTAATTAATCATTCAATTGTTATCAAATAATAAATATTTCATATATTATTCATATAATTTATAATAAATATATATATATCAAACTTATTCACTCTATTGCAACTCATAAACTCCAGCTGATTTCTATGATTTAAATATCTATCCCTTCCATAAAGAATAAAATTATTTTCTTATGACACTCATTATCAAAACAGGTATTAATATTATAGGAACTAAATATAATAGGGCTGGTTATGCTTATTAATATATCACCAAAGAAAGCATACAAACTAATAATCCAATACAATATCCAATTATTGATGTAATATACATACAATATCCTTTATTTATAATATTTTCAAATTTTAGAATGTATTTAACAACTATTCCTGGTAATAGAATATCACCTAAACCAAGTATAGAACATCTCATTAAAGGAGAATTATATGATTTCATTAAAGGTGGACATATAAATTTCATTGGTAAATCTATTGATGTAGCAACTTATGCCATAACAGATGTTCCAAAAAAATAAGGACTTATAAATACCCAAAATATATCATAAAAGAATGCTAAAGTCAATAATAATGTAGCAGTTTTAAAACTATCAATTTCTATTATCTAAATTTTATTATTATTTTTACTTTGAACATCAAAAGTGTAATTAAAAATGCTACTATATTATTTATTATCCAATGTTTAGTATAAAAGTATGAAAATACAATAAAAAAACTAATAAAATATGAACTAATCTTCAATAATATATTTTTTCCTAACATCTTTTACAATTAATCTTCTATTATTATCTAAATACTCAAAATTGCCATAAAGAATATTACTATACTCAATACTCTAATATTTATATTGTAATTTACAATTATCCTATTGATGGAAATTTATATAAACAAAATAATAAAACACTAGCAGATAATATAAAGAAAACTGATGTTTTTGCATTAAATTCTTCAGTCTTTATTGACTCAATCATTTTAATTTCTTATAATCCATAATTTGTGCCTATTATTAATAAAGATACTGCTAAAATTAATAACATAATTAATGGATGTAAATATAGTTCTGTCTATTGGCATTATTTATAAAATTAAATTGAATAAGATTAAGAATGATTCTAATTTACAAATACTGTAAAATCTAATATTATTAAACTCCATGAAACTTATTCTTTATTTGCTTTACATTCATATGTGATTATTAATTATTCTTAAGAATTTGGCTCTAATTAATATGGTTTCTTATTAGAATTTTGTAATATGTTAAGTACATCTGTATCATATACTAAAGGATGCATTACAACAGTAATCTAATCTTATTAATTGTTATTGAATATAAATTTAGTATGTTTTTCATTTGAATTCTCTAAATACAATTTTGCAGGATGACATTGAGATTGTTCCAAAGATTCTTGTTTAAATCTTATATCAGTTTTATTCTCATTTGCTATTAAATATTACTTGTCTTTTTCAATGAATAATTCAAACCCTTGAGAATGAATGAAAATAAACAATATATAAAAATACATTAAAATTATTAAATGGGAATATTATTTTTATTTTTCAAATATTTATTAATTAAAATTTCAATTTGCTTAAACAATAAAAGCTACTCCTCTTTTTGACCAATGATTTTTATTATTATTAATAGGTATTTTTATTTTGCAAATGAAATTAACTGATATTCCATTTGAAGTAAGTATTCCTTTTCTTTATGTTGTATTATAAAGAGGACAAGAATAATTTTTTATTATTTTTCTCTATTAAGTAGGACAAAAATTAATTATTGGACATGGATAGAACAGAATATTATTTTAAGGTTCTATTAGTGTCTACTCTTAATAATCAAATTAAGCTCCATCTATAGATATTCCATTTACACAAACACCTCTAGTTATAGTCTATGGTTCTTAAGAAAAAAAATTAAATTCAAATTTTAATTGATCAATAGGTATTTTTGATTTTCTTGAATATGTCTATAGAACAGCAGTTAAGAATCCTTAAATAAAGAAAAGACCACCCAACCAAAAAACTTTAGGTTAACCTTAATTTATCCACTTTTTAATAAATTCCGTTCTTTAAATTAAATCACTAAACCAAGATCCTAAAGATTTAGTAGTTAAGTAAGAATAACTTAACCATTATTCTGGAATTCTATTATCAAATATTGCATTATAAATATCTATTGATTAATCAGAAATATTAATTAAACCATCCAAACCTTAAATTAGAATGATTAGAGATTCTGATATTTTTGTTAATAATTTATTGTATTTAGTAATTTCTTAATGAATTATTGCATTTAAAGGATTTTCTAAAATTTATTGAAACTTTTGTTTTGCTAAGTTAGTATCAAGTAGTTCAGGTAAATTCTTTAAGATTTCTTAACTTTTATTATAAACAATTTAATCAGGATGTGTTTAATTGGAATCACTTTAAGTTCTTGGGAGTAATTACAATATGACTTAACTTAAATTTTCAGTTTCTAAAATTGAAGAATATATTTCAGCATTTTAATGAAGACCAAATAATTAAGGTGGATCAAAGATTGGCAATTATGATATGTATTCCATATAAGCTTTAAGTTTCATTTATTATGGTATCTAATAAATATCATAAAATTGATAATCTTATTGAATGGTTTTTGAATTGATGAAATCATTAACATAAATTTTTAGAAGTTTTCTGTCCATAGGATCTGTCACTCTACCACCATAATTATTTTCAGCAATTAAATAATTTAGAGCATCCCATGGAATATCTTAATAGGTTTCTAAAAAATAATGGATTTATTCTTTTGAAATTTCAAAATCATGTTATGAAAAATTGTATCCAATATTCCAACCTAAAGGACCATATTTCTTTCTTTCAAGTAAACATGCATGTAATAATGCTAATGAAAAGAATAGATTTTTCCATTCTTTTAATTTTTTTGATTATTCAAATTTGTCAGATTCTTATTATTAATATGATCTTAACATATTATTTTTGAGACCTCTAGGTAATTCATATGTAATTTTGAGAGCTATGATAATATAATATAATACATCTTAATATTACATTATGTGGTAATATTGATGTTGGTTGAGATGTCAACCATAATCGAAAATCTGAATTCATCTCTTTTTTATATTGCACTTCAAATAAATTTTCAAGTTCAGGCATAAAAGAAGCAGCAAGATGACAATTTTATAATAATACCCATGTTCCTTATTACATGGCATTTAATATCATTTTGATAGCCAATTAATTTTGTCCTTATCCTAAAGAGATCTAATTAAATCTATCATTAAAATCATATTTAGTTGCTAATTTAATGATTTCTTATCTAGGATCTGCTCCAGGTGTTATGATACATAATAAAGGAATTTTAGAATCAGATTCAAAATAAAATTATTCAAATGTAGTTGGAATATTTTCTATAAAGAGATTACCCATTTATTATTTTATCATTTCATTAGTAGCAGATATAAATTATTCAGGTTTAATTATTTTAACTAACATATTCATTTAAAATTAATCTAAACCTCTTAATTATAATTAATAAGAATTAGAACTATTTTAAAAACTATCCCAGAATTATTTTTAAGATACAAAATCTTAGCAAATAGATCCAAATATGTTAGGAAAAGATTTTGATAAATCTACTAATTCCAACCACATTTTATTTGTTAACCATGAAAATCCTTTGGGCATTTAAACATCTGATGTAGTTAATGTGCAACCCATAACAGTTGCTCTTATTAATTCAGATGGTATATTCATCATTTTTACATATAATAGAAATCGAAAGATCAATTTATCTTTTTCTAATAGTGATCTATTAATTTAAGTGTATAAAATTTATATGAATTTATCTATGATATTTTAATTTCTTTTTAACTTTTCATTTAAAGATTCTCTTATAGATCTAGTGTAAAGAAAGAAATAAAATTCTAAAGACCAAATATAAGTGTGTTCTATTACAGCCAAATCATTTAATATAAAATAAAGATTAGCTACTTTCTCTGCTGCTTATTAATAGAATTATCTGATTTACATAAAGTTTATTCTATCATATTCTAAACTTTTTAATTTTTCTTCAATTGCTATACTTTCATCCTTTGATTTTGATAATGTTTAAATTAAATCTTCATTTTCTAATAAATCTCCTGTAGATTCTGAAAGTAATTTCAATATCAATGTTTCTGTCTAAATTAATTTATCTTTATTTTAAAAATATTATTAAATATTCTTTAATCTTTGTTCTTCTTTTTATGGTTCATCAATTTTAACAACAATATTTAATAATTAGTCAACTAATCCATCTTATGTTACTTAAAATATAAGCATATTAACCATAACACAAACTTATGGTTGAAAATGAGGATTACTTAATTTAGTTGTCATATAAAATCTAAAATCAGAAGATATATCTATTATTTTATCTCCTAATTTCATTGTAGCTCTTTTTGATCTAGATTTTGCATTTTATTACAATAATGATTCAAATAATGGATCTAAAGTTTAACCAACATTTTCTAATAAAACTGCATAACCAATTTATATTCCATGTTCTAATTATAATTAAATTTATTATGTTGGTTAATTGGCATTTAAGATAAGCAAATATTTACTATCTTCCATATTTTTAATCCATTAATTGGCTTAGAGTTATGGATCAATCATTAATGGCCATTTTGTAGATTCTTTAAGTATGATTGCATTCTCAATACTTAATTAATCATTAGGTAATTATTATGTAATCCAATTATTGATTATAATTGGATTACATAATTATTTCGAGATTGCATAATCAATTGAGAATTTTACATTATTTTATTTTAATAGATTTTTCCAATAATTTTAACAGACATCCCTATATTATATAGGAAAGACTCCTAAATATGCAATAATAGAAGCACTTAATATACAGTCTCCTTCAATTGCAATTTATTCATTTTTTATTTTTTATCCTTTTTTCTTCCATCTTTAAGCTTCATCTTACAAACCAAATAATAATTTTTCAGCTTTATTAAGTTATTTTTAAATAGTTTCTACTTCTTATTAAATTATTTATTTTTCTTAATTAGCTTTTTCAAATTCCTTTTCAAATTATTTAAGTTCATTTAATTATTATTCTAATATGGCTCTTTTTATTTAAACATCAGCTTCAGCTTCTTTAAGTTTTTTTTCAGCTTCAACTAATTATGCCTTTTTTGGTTCAATTATTTCAACAGCTTAATATGTTTCTAAAACAGCTCTTATCCATTATGCTAAATTACCAGCTGCTTTAGATGCATTAAATACTTTTTCTTTTTCAAAAAGAGGATTAAGTACAAAAATCTATAATTTCTAAATATTATTTAATTTAATTGATCTTATTTCTTCTAATTTCATTTTTTTGACTCTCTTTATTAATTTATCATTTAATAAATATTTTTTAGCATAATCCCAATAATCTTACATAACAGGAAGTTCTTTATTTTTTGATTTAACTTTTTCATCTTCTTAAAATGCATAACATAATCCTTCCATAACAACAGCAGCTGATAAAGGTGGATTAGTAAAAGATTTTAATTAAATCATATCTTCTTTAGTTATTTTATCTAATGCTTCAGTTGCTTAACCTAAAAGTGGTAATACTTTATTCAATTCAGTAA